CCAAATGAATTTAAATATCACAACCGAGTGTGCGAAAGTGTAGTCGTTGCATCATGATTGTGACGATGAAGCAACTATGATTGGACGACCAATGTGCAGAAAGCCTAAATTAACATACTAACGACAGATAAATTAATATTTCATATCAATAATTGCATGAAAAATTATATTTCTTGCCCAGACTTGATTAAACTTTAAAAATATTTCACTTTATTTTATTTATTTGCAACTGCTGATTGACAACGCGCGTTAAAAGATGAGTGATGCCCATCTTTCTGTGTGTGTTAAAGCGCAGTTAGTCAACGACGTAGCGTAAACGTAGCAGCATATGAAACTTACTCAAGAACGATGGAAATATATACCCAAATATACCCGGCTAAATGCTAAATGCCTTTGGCACTAACACTTTGCAAGTTCATCGCCTGTTTGCGCAGCTCTTTGATTAGAATTTTTATGTACGAAAATTACTTTCCATGCATCTCCTTTTTGTCACAACTACCAACTTAAATCCAGAAACACTTTCCACATGAACCACAAAATCCACATTTTGCTTGTGACATTTTTGTTTTTGTACTTCTGTCGTCCATCGGAGTTGTCATATGATCAATTTTCATCAAGGGCCAGGAAAACGAAAATGTTACGGATTTTTGCAATTTTTATGTTCTGCTTTTTAGCAGGTGAGTAATTATAATTTAGTAATTTGACCAATCGCATATAACACAACTAAAGGAAGTGAAAGTGCAGAAGAATTTTTCCCCGTAACCCGTTAAAAATGGGGAAACAATAAATTTTCGCGGGTGGGGTATTAATCTTATTGATTTTCGCTTTGTCGAGACCGTCAAATAATTCTTGTTAAACTGATACATACAATTTCTAATCTGTTTCAATCATATGTATTTCAGTTCAAGGTGATGGCAGATTTTACGTGCTGAACGCGCCAGAGTCGTTATCTTTCCAGGCCGTTTCTACTGCACTCCCAAGCGAACAGGTGGACGATGTTATTAAGGCAGCAAGAGGATTGGATGTATCGGACTCCGCAAACTTTCCCGGCCTTGTGATCACGGATCCTTTCGCACTTCCACAAAAAGTAGTAGTTGTAGATGTGATTGGTTTGAATGAAGTGCCCTTGAGTGATGTCGTGGTGAGCTATAAATTACAAGGAAAATCTGTTTCGTCATATTTAGATGACTTGAATGTGGGTTTGACACAAGATCCCTCTGACTGCAATATTAAGCTCTCCAGCAACCAGAAAAGTGTAAGTAGATTTTAACCTTACTCCTCACTCATTGTGTAATTAATATACCTTTTATAAAATAAGGAACTTGTGAACTGCGTAGAAACTCAAGTAAAATCAAACAATGAATTCATACTAGCAAAAATCAACGTATCAATGCTTGTAAAAAGTGGTGTTGACAAAGCGTTGGTCAGCGAACTTAAAACTCTGCAAGCAAAAATTGAGGGAGAATCACAGAACTTACTCTTTGTCGTTCTAACTCATAAAGATGATGGCAGCAATTCACGTAGGAGACGTGACACTTTAGCTGGATCTAATACTGTAAATATATACATAACTAATTTAGTTGATAGAAAAATTAACACTTTTTCCTCCTGGCTCCTATAGAATTCGTACAACCTTGCTGCGTACTATGATGAAAACTACCCAGTAATTTTCAACATCATCCTATGGTTCATGGTTGCTTTGGGTCTTTCATTACTGGCTGTTTGCTACGCCATCGCCGATATGGATCCCGGTAGAGACTCGATCATCTACAGAATGACATCAACACGAATGAAGAAAGACAATTAAAGAGAATCTTTCTATCACACTTTAATTTCTATACATATATTAATTTAAATATTATCTCCAAATAGAAATGGAGGATGTATTAAAAAAATTCCACGTTGAAAATTGCAACAAAGCAATTATTGAAAAGTTTAAATTGTTATACCAAGAAAATTACTGTTCATAAATAATTCTTGTATTTATCCAATTTTCTTTTTAAGACTTATTATATTGTCTACCTCCCAGTAATTCATGTGTGTGTGTGTTGTTTACTTATTGCGAATCCATCTGTAAGCTTTTATAAAAGGGGTAGCACTTACACAAGCATATTCGAAACATGTAAAAAACGTGGTTACTAAATAAATTCTTAAAAAGAAAATAAGGAGTTTCAGTCAAATACGAATCTGAGTTTTGTTAGAGTCAAATGCGGACGCGAAATCCTCATCTCAATCTTTCAGACTTCACTCGCTGACTTCAGTCGCTTCTTATAAATTTACGTTCTTTGCCCAAAACAAACAACGCGCGCAGGTCCAACCGGAGAAAAAAAGGCCCATTTTTGGTGCAATTGTCCGAAGTTGGCAACCGAGCTTCTGCGAATGCTATCAGTTGGCATCTCTCTAAACTGGTCGAAATTTGTTGACATTTTGCGGTAGCATGCACTGAATCTAATTTCTCATTTTTTGCGAGTGTTTGGAATTTATATACATAAAATATAAATAATTTTTTATAAATAGTTTTTAACTATTCAGACCCAGACTTTGTATATTCATCATGTCTATTGAAATCGAATCGGCTGAGTAAGTATAAATACGAAAGCTGCATTAATTAACTGGGCGGAAGATCGGATGTGTAGTACTTACGGCCAGTTTTTTTTTATTTCAGTGTTATTCGACTAATACAGCAGTATTTAAAAGAATCTAATTTATATAAAACATTGCAAACTTTACAAGAAGAGACCGGTGTCTCACTTAACACGGTGGACAGTGTTGACGGCTTTGTACAGGACATTGTAAATGGCCATTGGGACACTGTGCTGAAAGTCACGCAGTCCCTAAAATTACCTGATAAAAAACTTCTTAATTTGTATGAACAAATAGTACTTGAATTGATTGAGTTACGAGAGTTGGGTGCAGCCCGTTCATTGCTGAGACAGACTGATCCCATGATTATGCTGAAACAACACGAACCGGAGCGCTACATACATTTAGGTTTGTAGTTTGGTGTTGTATGTGCATATACATAGTATATAGTATGTACCTGACCCATTTTGTTTATTTTATAGAAAATATGCTTCAGCGTGCATATTTTGATCCGAGAGAAGCCTACCAAGAAGGTAGCAGCAAAGAAAAACGACGTGCCATTATAGCACAAGAACTAAGCGGTGAAGTACATGTTGTACCATCTTCACGTCTATTGGCACTACTAGGTCAAGCGCTGAAATGGCAGCAACATCAAGGGCTATTACCCCCCGGCACAACGATCGATTTATTCCGGGGCAAAGCGGCAATGAAAGATCAAGAAGAGGAAATGTTTCCCACACAAATGTTCCGGCAAATCAAATTTGGTCAAAAATCTCATGTTGAATGCGCCCAGTTTTCACCGGATGGTCAATACCTAATAACTGGCAGCGTTGATGGCTTCCTTGAGGTTTGGAATTTCACTACTGGCAAAATACGCAAAGATCTGAAATACCAAGCCCAGGACCAGTTTATGATGATGGAGCAGGCAGTTTTGGCTTTATCATTTTCCCGAGACTCCGAAATGGTAGCATCTGGCTCTCAAGACGGACAAATTAAAGTGTGGCGTATTATAACCGGACAATGCTTAAGGAAATTTGAAAAAGCACACACAAAAGGAATTACATGTTTGCAGTTCTCGCGTGATAATAGTCAAGTGCTGAGTGCTTCCTTCGAAAATAGTATACGATTACATGGCCTAAAGTCTGGCAAAATGCTGAAAGAATTCAAAGGTATGTATACTCGAACAAAGCCCAAATGATATTTTTTATAGACATATAAACTTACGTACATATATTTAAGGTCACACGTCATTTGTCAATGAAGCTACTTTCACACCCGACGGCCATAACATACTAAGCGCCTCTTCGGACGGTACAGTGAAAATTTGGTCATTAAAAACTACTGAATGTTTGTCAACCTACAAACCATTAGGCAACGAACTAGCAGTAAACACCGTGTTAATATTACCCAAAAACCCAGAACATTTTATTGTTTGCAATCGCTCGAATACAGTTGTCATTATGAATATGCAGGGTCAAATTGTACGTTCATTCTCATCTGGTAAGCGTGAAGGAGGTGCTTTCATTTCAGCCACCATCTCCCCGCGTGGTGAATTCATTTATTGCGCTGGCGAGGATCAAGTATTGTACTGCTTCTCGGTAACATCTGGCAAACTGGAACGTACGCTAAATGTAAGTTTCCCAATAATAATAATAATGATTATCAGTATTCATATATTTCTTACGTAATACTTATGCATATGCAATATTACGCCATCATAGGTACATGAAAAAGATGTCATTGGCCTATCGCATCATCCCCACCAAAATTTGCTAGCCACGTACAGTGAAGATGGACTACTAAAATTATGGAAGCCATAAATATAGTTTAAGATTCTAGTTGTAATTTATTCATACAATTGCTATGGGACTTAGTATTTAAATCAATAAACCGATAATCGAATGCCATTATGCGTATTAAAAATAATTACTGCAAACGGCTCCATCTACAAAATAGTAAGAAGAAGTTGAGCTTCCCAGTAGATAATTGCAAGAGTTAAAAGCTCTTCCGAAAGGCCTTCCTGAAAGTCAAGAGGCCTTTCATTCTAGACTCTTTACTCTTTCTTTTTGTATGGAGTGGCACAAACTGAAGGGCTTCTTCTTTCGCTACATATGGAAGGCCTTCCAGAGGTGCTTTTGTAGTACGTGCTTCAGAAGGCCTTTTAGAGGAGTTCTTTTAAAGTTGCTTACGGTTTATATCAAATCCGCGTTCTTTTTGCAACTTAAATTTTGATTGAAATTCAGTTGTAATGGTAAATAATATAAATTTAAGCATTTGCATAAATTGTAAATGGATAAGCCCTTCTAGAAGGCATGCAAGGAAGCACTTTTTTCAGCCCTTCGTGGGTTGGCCTGTTAGAATGGCTTTACTTAGGATGGCCTACCTAAATTATCTTCTGGGTTCTGCGTCAGAGTACTACATTTTTCATAGGCAAATTGATTTCAATTAAGAAAGATGCAAATACAATGCCACGGGTTTTGTATATATGGTAGCAATACTATGCTTAGATTTAGCGTAAATATTCAAATAAACATGTGTGTGACAATACTTGCATTTGTAACACAAAAAATTATTTATTCTAAGTTGATTAGCTTAAGCCACTTTGGATCAATCTCCATTTGCACCACATCAGTCGTTCAAGGTGCACACATTTGAATGGACGTTGGTTGTAAATTACAGCCGGATAATGAAGAGTGAGCCAATTATCGAAAAAATACGCAACAAATTGAAGGATTCTAATCCTGATCGACGCACGGTTTTGAGCGTATTTCAATTCAATATCACTGATACCGATGGAAAGTTAATTAAAAGTGTAGGTGAGTATATGCAAATGCACACTATACAAACGGACTGCTGTGCACAAATCTATTTGTGAGTGTATTAATTTATAGTGTCGTAGTTTTTGATTTTAAAGATCTGAATATCTATGAGGGCACAACAGATGCAGCAGATGCTGAAGTTATTATATCGGATGAGGATTTCTATCTAGTAGGTACGAAGGAAACAACATTTGATGTACTACTCGCTGAGGTAAGGCGTACGCAATACAGTGGATATGCTTTACTTCGAATAATTTTAATTCGATTCGATTTTAGAACAGGGCGGTTGTCAAGGGAGATGCCAAGGCTATAGACAAAATACTTGGGAAGTTCCGTTCAGGAGCAGATAAGTGACTGGATTGATAGTTGATTATTATTTTTATTTAAGTCAAAACGGTGAGAGCCTGGACCCACTTACGTGAATTATAGCGATATCAGTGATGTTTACATGTATGTATGTACATATGTACATGCATCCGTATGCATATGTATTCCTGTTTTTACTTTAGTAATCATGTCCTAAAATTTATTCTTTTAAATAAACTAACCTTAATTTTATATTAATAAACTAGCAGACCCGGTGAACTTCATCCCGCGCAAAATTAATTATTTTTTATTGAAACTTCTTGGTCGAACATTATCACCAACAATTCATGTTTCCCATTTTCATTGGCACATTAATCTGCTAAGATTATGGTTTGGTGGTCATTTACTGGCGGGTTAAATTGTGAAACTAAACCCTCTAGAGACCCGCTCAAACGCACACAAAAAATTTCGTTAAAATCCGGACACCCATTTAGGAGGATTTCACTTACAAACATACCTAAAGAAGAATTATACATCCAAGGAAAGCTAAAAGTTGGTAAGTTTACAGGCCCCACACCCCTTTTCAAATAGTCCTATTTATATTCACATACCAGTAGTTCCAGTACTGTACCATGAACACTTCCAGAGATATGCAGTATAAAAATTCGGATTGTATGGGAGGTGCCACGCCCTCTTTTCCAATAGCCCCAATTTTTATTCATGAGTATGCGATTGATTTCAAATATCTCCACACCTATGTAGCTCCAATACTCTGCCATGAACATTTCCAGAGATATGCAGTACGGAAAATTCGGTTTGTATCGGAAGCAGGGCCGGATCGTCAGCACGATTTTTTGTGGGAAGGGGGGGGTTTTGCGGGAGGGAAATAAGAATAAAAAATTTTGTACGCCCAGTATTCTAGACATTTTATTTTATTATATTATATATTGTTTATAAATGAATTATATTTTTACAAATCATATGTTTTGAGTCATATGTTTTTGAGAAAAATTCACCGTAGTAATTTTAAAATTTCAAAATTACATTTCTCGACTGAAAAATAAGATATTCGAGCTAACTCGACGGCATACAGTGTTTCTTTTTAATACTTCATGTCAATTAATCGTAGCGCTTTCGACAGAAGCAATATTTTGATATGAGGCGAAATGGCTTTGAAAGCTAATTTAATTACCTTTCAAGGAAAAATATTGCCATTGAGCCACAATCACTCCTTGACCTTCAAAAAATTGGTCAAAAGTAGTGTTCTTTGAAAAATAAAACATGCAAAATCCAACGGATATATTAAAAAAAATAACATTTTTTGGATTTTTTATTATGCAGGGTGGCGCCGAATGAGCTATATAGTTTAAATGGTTTATAACTTTTTTATTTATGCGATTATTATAATATTTTTTTTTTTTGAATACAGTATATTATTGGGGAATTTTTTGCAATTAGCTTTGAAAATGATATCCTGTAGTTGATGTACATTTTCTGCTTCGCACATATGTACGTGTTCTTTTTAGCATATTTTCCATAACTTTTCGCAGAATTTCGGGTGTAATGGCCATGATTTCATTTCGAATGTTGGTTTGGAGTTGGAGAATGGTTCTTGGTTTGTTAACGTACACTCTTTCTTTCAAATATCCCCAAAGAAAACTGTTAAAAAGAATTCAAACCATATACCTCATTCGGCGCCACCCAGTACTACCTAGTATTATAGATTTTGAGACGAGAAACACGATTCCACTGTTTAAAAAAATGAAAAAAAAAATCAACCCCTCAATTTAAAAATTATATTATATATTGCATTTTTTGGTATTTGCATGCAGCTGTGCATCCTTCACACAATTGTTATCCCTCGATCTTCTAATTCTAATTTTGAACAGAGGAATCGTGTTGCTAGTCTCAAAATCTATAATACTAGTATAGTAAAAATACATAAATTGTTTGTTTTGTTTCCCATGTATTTTGCATGTTTTTTTCGAAGAACACTACTTTTGACCAATTTTTTTTAAGGTCAAGGGGTAATAGTGGCTCAGTGGCCACAATTGAAAGGGATTTACTTTAGCTCTCAAAACCATTTTGTTTCGTATCAAAATGCTGCTTCTGTCGAAAGCGCTAGGATTAATTCGCGCGCAGTGGTCAAAAAGCAGACTGTGCGGCTTGTGAAAGGACAAGAGATGCTTATAAAATGCTGTGCATATTTTTCATATATGAGTTCAGCGACAAAATCTATAAGAAATGGCCAATTTCATATCAGAAAAAAAAATTCAATTAGCACGAAATTGTTCCGGAAGTAAAATCATAATACCAAGAGTGTAGTTGAAATTCCTAACCAAACTCGGATTTCTCGACCGACTCGGATTTTGGAGGGAAAATTTCCCCTATTTCAAATATCTCCACACCCAGCTCCAGTACTCTGCTATGAACACTTGCAGAGATACGTATTACGTAGTATGACATATTCGGTTTGTATGGGAGGTGCCACGCCCCCTTTTCCAATATTGACTATGCAGGACCAGTCAACGGCGAATACTTCATATGGTAATTATTGATGCATATTCAAAGTAGCCAGAAGTAGTTCCAACTAAGTCAATAACGACACAGCAAACAGTTGACATCATCAATGAAATTTTTTCGCGTTTGGGTCTCCCGTCAACTATAGAATCCGATAATGGATCGCAGTGCACATTTTCAACAGTTTCTAGTGCAGAACGGCATTACACATTATCGCTCTAGCTCATATTACCCGATGTCCAACGGACAAGCAGAAAGATTCGTCGATACTTTCAAGCAAGCTCTCAAAAAGCTAGAAGGAGAGGGAACGACGAACAGAAACTTACAACACGAACAACAGGTCCCCAGCTGAAGTTTTGCTAGGCAGAAATATGCGTACCAACTTAGATCTGCCAAAGCCGAAAGCGTTGCGTAATACTCAGTTCGAGTTAGTCCACCAACAACATCGTATGAAGCAGCAGTTCGTCCGGAAGCATGGGGCTAAACAAAAGTCGATCTGCAATCTACGAAAAAGGAGATGAACTATTCAAAAACGCTAATCGTCGCTTTCCGACTGTACGAAAAGGAGAAAAATGCATTGTGAGAGTGGATCATCTCGTGCAACTTTACACCGCAATAATGCACCTTCAGCGCAATTCGAAGTTAACAGAGATACACAATCGAATGATAACCCTCTATCGCAATAAGAATATAACAAAGCAACACCAACAAAGCGACCCCAGCGCTTACGCCGACCCGTGGAGAGGTTTGTTCCGGGTTAAGCTAAAGCTAACCAATTCAAAAGGGGAGGTGTTGGCATCCCGCAAATAAGTAGCAAAATGTGTATTGAGTGTGCCAGCCGAGCTATTCAAGTACGGTGGCGAGGAACTGATAAGGTGAATGCATAAACTCTTACGCAGAATATGGTCAGATGAACGCATGCCCGACAACTGGAATTTAAATGTGCTCTGCCCAATCCACCAAAAGGGCGACCACACCATACGCACAAACCACCGCGGGATCAGTTTTCTAAGCATAAGTTACAGGGTGTTATCGATCGAATTGTCTTAATGCCGCGATGTCTGAATTTGATATCACCACGAAACTAATATGGCTGTGTAAAATGACGTTGAGCTAAACAATCGCCTCTGTCAGAATTGGGAAGGATCTCTCCGAGCCGTTTGAGACCAAACGAGTGGCTATGGTGGTGAACGAGGACAAAACGACACACGTCACTGTTGACAGTTCCAAGTTCAATTATGACCATCAGGAAGAGAAAGCCTCCAACGCCATTGGGTCACTATTACAGTAGACTACTCTACAGAGGTTCTCAGCATGGCAATGGTCCCTCTCATTAATACGGATGTGTGGAAATCAGGACGAGTGGTCCCACGCCCAAAACCGGGTAAACCTTCCAACAAAGAAGAGTATTATGGGCCGACAGCACACCTTTCCCTGGTAGCGACGACCCAGCATCACCATAGCAAATAACGCCTTAACCGAAACCCCCCGTGAGATAGCGGTCCTAGTATCGTTGGATTTGCCAAGGCGTTTGACCCCGTCTGCTAATCCGCAATATCGGAAAGGCATTGATGCTACTTCCCTCCTTTAGAAACTCAAATTCACTGACCACCGGCGAAATACCTGAGTAGTCAAAATTTTTCAGTAATTTTTAGAGATAAAATGGCTAAACCAAGAAAAATTCTGTTTGATTTCAAAATATTTCGAAGCTTCTTAAATTACCAGAGGTGATTCCATTATCTCATATACTGACGATTGGGTCCGGCAATGGAATTTAATACCTGTGCTCGAACGTAAATAGTTACCTCAGCGAGCTTTCTCGCTTCTTCATTACACAGAGCCTAACCCTCTCCCCACGAAATGCTCAACAGCACTTTTAATTATCTATTGACCCGGTGAAACATTTTCGCTTTGTTCCACCGTTGTCTTAAACAACCTATTGAAAGTGTTATTTCCGTGAAAAAGTTCAATCCTAGTATCTCCGAATATACCTTTAACGCATAGACCAATCGGAACACAGAGGAGTTGGACATACTCAGTGGCCCAGCACGTCGATGTTATCGGACATTTACAGCACTTTTTCTCACTTGACGAATTATTGTGAGCCCAAACTATTCAGAGACCCACTAAAACACACACAAAAAATTTCGTTAACATTGGAAGGAGTTTACTTGCAGGACCACGTACAGAAGAGTTCTATGTATATCTAATATATAAAAATCTCGTGTCACGGTGTTTGTGGTCGAACTCCTCCTAAACGGCTCGACCGATCTTTATTAAGTACAAACCGAATTTTGCATATCTCTGGAAGTGTTCATGATAGAGTACTGGAACTTGGTATGCGCAAGATATAAAATCACCCGAATAGTCATGAAGAAAAATTGGGGCTAATTGAAAATGGGGCCTTTCGCCTTTAAAACGCACGGAATGTATTTAAGACGGCAATGGAAATATGCCTTCTGACAACCAACAAACCGTAATATTAGAAGATAAATACGTGAACTTTCGGTGAAAATGTTGGACTAAAATGTTTCAACACAAATTTTTTTTTTGGGCGGGACGAAGTGCGCCGGATCTGCTAGTACATACATACAATGGGTAAAAATAGGTAACAGATAAAAGTTTCAGTACGCCCCCGTTTCTTGAAAAAAAAAAATGAATGCTCTAACCCAGGGGATTCAGGTATAACAACTTGTAAGTTTTATAATAACACACTTTTAATTTTCTTTGCATGCTCAAGAAGGC